TTGAGAACGAACGTTCGGTTCGTTATTTTCGTGACGAGATGAATACAGCTCGTCAGGACATGACTTAACTGCGTAAACAGTTCGCTTCGCTAGTCGACTAGACTGGCTCGTTGAAATGGGACCACTCGAAGGTGGTCTCGGCCCTTGACTACGGAGGTGTTCTACACCTTTCAAAACGGACTTGTACTGATAGTACGGAAGGAGACTTCCAACGTAAAACGTAGGATGCGTAGTACGCATCCTACGAGGCAGGTCAGTCGTGTATGCGTTGCCCGTACGGCGCAACACACGAAATGTACGAATTTATATGGGCAGTGTTTCACTGCTGCCCACGTTCGTCACTGCGTGCTTCGTTAAGTTGACTGTAGACAGTAAAATTAGGTCTACTTCATCAAATGAAAGAACATTTGCTCTTCTATGTTTGTCTGCATTTCGTTTCTGTGTGTCTAGTGCATCTGCAATAGAGTCATGAATGAAGCGGACAACCGCTTCGCGAGCCAGCAGAAATTCCTCTGCTGATTCATCCTTGTCAACAGCAGTGCGCTTCTTGTGCACTGCTGAAAGAACGTAGTCTTCACAAGTGAGGGCACTATCGTCCTCAATGTGGCATTTGTTGGCGATGCTGATTATATTTACCAGCATCGTCATCATCGTCATCATCGACATCGATCCCATCGACATCGTCATCCATCGCGTCGGCACTATTGTCGACGGATGATGAGCAAGAACCAGATCGGTTTTGTTCGAGCGAGTCCACCCCCCCCCCTTAAACTAGAGTCACACTCTAAGAAGACGGGTAAACGTGGATGGCGTAGGCCATTCACGAAGAACGGTGTATGCATATTCGACGCGTGCAACGAGTTGTTGATGGCGAATTCCGCCATCAGCAATAACTCACTCCAGCTCGTAAACGAGTGGACATAACCTCGAAGTATCCCTTCGAGAACGCGGTCGACGCGTTCTGTTTGACCATATGTTTAGGGATGGTCAGAAGTTTACATCGTCATACGTGTTCCAAGTGACTAGAACACGGATTGCCAGAACTCCACTGTGAAGCGGGGGTTCCTATCGGACACGAGTTCACGGGGGTAATCCGTAAAGTCTGAAGATTGTATTGATGAAGACACGAGCACAGTCCTGGGCTATGATTGACTTCGGTAAAAACAGCAAGATGTGCCATCTTGCTGAAACCGATCAACGTACTCAAGAACACCAGTATTCTTGTGAACGTCTTTAGGAAACCCAAAGACGAAGTCCATCGATGCGGACTGCCAGTACTCTGCCGTAATCGGTAGAGGATACAAGGGTGCACGTAATGGAATACTAGGCTTTACTCGTTGGCAAACTTCGCAAGCGCGAATGTATTTGCGCACAAACTCATACTGGCGAGGCCATTAGAAGTCACGACTTACCGTGAGGTAAGTCTTTTCTCTACCGCGATGTCCACTTGTTGGGGCATCGTGACACTCATACATGATGCTCAATCGCACATCATCATGAGCAGAAACAACGACACTTGGTGTGTCCCCGTTTACTGCTGTATAGTACAACAGTCCCTCACGAATCGAATACCATTCGGTTGAAGATCGGTATTGAGACGTCAAGCATTTTAATGCGTGACCGCATGGATTAGACACGTAATCCATCAATCACAAAAGAGACTCACATTCTGCGTATGCTTTTGCACGTCGTCGAGCGGACTCGACGAAGGAACACTTACTGATAGTGTCGCAACAGTGGGATCAACCCTACCGTTGGAGAAGTTTCCCTCCGCGAAGGAAGACAGCCACCTCGCCATATGTTGCGAGAGGTGTGGACTTTTTACGGCCGTGCGTAACGACGCATGGTCGGTATAAACGATGAGAGGCCTGTCTTCAAAGAAATACACCCGAAACTTAGCCAGTCCATATTTCATGGCAAAGAGTTCCTTGTCATGCACTGGGTAGATACGCTCAACCGCTTGCAGCTGACGCGATCGATAGCAGACGAAACTCTCAACGCCGTCTGAGTCGTACTGCATCAACGCGCAGCTGATTGCAAAATTGCTGGCGCACAGACCACATAGGTTAGTCTGTCCTGGCCTACAATCGCCAACACAGGCGATGTATTAAGCTTTTCTCGATACCTCCGAAGGAGTGCTGGCACTCAGCACTCCATGACCACTTCACGCGCTTCGTTATCAGACGAGAGAGATACACTATTGTCTCGCGTACTTGTGGGAGTACTTGTGCAACACGCCACTAATCCAAAACAAGTTGAATTCCCTTGGCGGCGACTGGCACAGGCCAGCCGCTTATCGCCTTTATCGTTTCCGGATCAGGGCGTACGCTGTTTCTACCCATGATGCAGCCAAGAAGCGGTATTTCAATCGCTGCGAATATACATTTTTTAAGGTTCTCGAACGACTTATTCTCTCGCGGTAGTGTAAGAACCTTCCGGACGTGCTTTATATGAATCTTCACGTCTGCCTTCCCATCCATAGCCCGTCTGTGGACGAAGACATCATCGAAGTTACTCGGTGCGAAGGCTCGCACTGATCGCAACAGATTCGTAACACAACTGTTAAAAGTTGCAGGGGCGCTACTTAGCCCCTGTGGCATCATTAGCCACTCCCAGAGCATTCCACTGGGGGTGCTTACTGCTGTGTACGGGATGTACCGTTCACGCATGAGTATCTGATAGAATCCATCCATTAAATTCATGGATGAAAAGATGGTACTTTTTGCCATACCATCTATGATGACATCCTTTCTTGGGATCGGCGTTTGAGCCGGTACCGTTGCAGCATTCAATTTGTTGAGCGCGTGCACTCTCCGCCACCCTCCTGTGGCCTTTCGCACACAGAAAGTTGGAGAGCTATGTGGGGATGTTGATTCCCTCACATGACCAGCCGCTAATCGATCGGCAAAGAATTTGTCGATCGCTGTTACCTGTTCACGAGACTGTGGCCAATGCTTCATGACACAGTATTTCGGACCAGGTTTCTGTTCGATCTCATGCCGAGTGCCTTTGTCCTTGGGCAGCTCGCATGGCATAGATTCCGGGAAAACATCCCTGAATTCCAGCAAATCCTCGTACAAAGGATTTTTGTTTAAAGACTCCTAAGATTGAGACGTGTATCGCTCGATCCGGATCTTCTCATCAAGGGCACTCGCATCCATCGATGAGCTAATGAGAACCCGTTCGTTCTCAGTAAACACTTGTGCTGACAGAATATCGGCGACGTACTCTTCCTCTGCGACGAGTACGTTGTTCTGCTTGATCTTGTCACTACGCAGATCTCGCAAGGATCTTTAATATTCTAGCGCTGGAAACTAGACTACATCCGAAGCTTACTTCGGGGGCGCAATCAGATCAAGTGTATAAGCGGCCACACTTGATCCGTCATTTACCAAGACATTCACTATCTCAGTCATTCTCTGGGAAAATACATCCGCAGGTGGTTGGGGATCCACACCCTCAACATAACTCTCTCGGGAGTTATTGCTCTCAGGATCGCTGGAACTTTCTTCCATTACGCGTGCTATCACGGTCACGTCCTCTTCGATCGAATCTATTTAGTCGATCAGGCTTGCTCTACGATCGACTCTCTGATAGTTGATCTCGCTTCAACGTGTTGTTCATCCTGAACAACACTAGTTTTTATTTTTCTCTTCTCGATTGCACCCTTCTTGGTGTGCATCCGTGTTCCAGTCCACTTGATCTCTTCGAGTGGTGAACCTTCGGCGCAGCCTGTGTTTCCTCACAGCCGCCGGAAGCTGGTTCCACAGTGCAGTGGCCTTCTACCTTGTGATCTTGTGCAATCGTACTAACGATCGTACCACAAGTGAGGCCATCGCACTCACTCGTAGTACAACCACACGCTTGTGTAATTGCTCCGAGACGTTAATCAGATGGCCATCTGATTAACAAACGGCAGGCATCTTCACGGATCGATGCTGCCAGCTAACCCATGGCCGGTACTTTCGAAGCCATTGCAGACAGAGGATGATATCAGATTTGTCATCCAAATCTGATACGATGAAGTCATTGTCGTACTTCTTTCCTTCTAGCGTGTAGTGGATTCCCACTATACGTTTGTGTACTGTTACGGATGCCCCTGTAGGAATAAACACACCGTCATCCTCGTTGGAGGGAACTCTCGCTCAACATAGTTGAGCCTACTATCCCTTAGCGACTGGCGTTGGATGAAACTGTTCGACGCACCACATTCAACTAGGGCGCGAAGTGACATTCTACTTGTCACTTCGATCTTCAAAGTGATGAGAGACTCCTCATCACTAAGGGAAGTAACACACAAAGACTGCGTGTTGGGAGCAATCTTCGTCACGAGTCCTTCAAATTCTCTTGACGTTGCTGGATCAGCAGGGTGCTCCGCCCCTACTGACCCTGACCGTTTTTTGACGGTCCGTCTTGCTGTCGCGGCTTAGCGACATGGTCGGACCCACGCCTCGGACCCTTCCTTGGCCAACGGCGGTCATCACGCCCTGTCTTTGGACGTGTTGCGGTGCTCGGAAACTACACTCATGAGCGTAGTGTCCAATCTTCTGACAGCGATGGCATCTTGCCGTTCGTTTGTGACTCAGATAGCGAGAGTTCTCGCTCTCAATGAAACAGAGGTCCATTGGTTCGGGACCTCCTGTTTCCTGGTCCTCGTCGGACGATAATTGGACGAGTTAGCGTGAGACTGTCTCAGGCTGAAGTCTTCTTGTTCCGCATACGCCATCGCCCTTTCCAGCGTACGGAAGTCCTCTCGGAACATGTAGGTCTTCACCGGCCTATCCACAAGGCCGTAGATGAACACGTTGATGAGCGTGTGCTCATAAACAGGGTTGCCGTGACGCTACTCGCAAGGTAGCGCAGGTGCTGTGCGTAAGCGTGCACGTCACGCTTACCTTGCTTGAGCCTCAAGAGTGCAGAGCGTGCTCTGTACTCAGCTCTCGGCGGCTCAAACGTCTCTTTAAGCCGAGACTTCAAGATCTACAACGACTCAAACACGGTTAAGTCGTGAAGCTTGATCCTAAGGCCCAAGTCTTTGCTCGTCCTGTCAAATTTGACAGGGAGAAGGTGACTTGCATCTCGTCACCCTCGATGTGACGGGCCCTGATGGCGTCGTCTAACTCTACAAACCATCTCAAAAGGGAATCTTCATCGGTTCCTTTGTACCTTGAGACATCAATCTTCAAGGTTTCAGGTCGACGCATGTGCGTCGGCCCGCCCATCGACTGATGAGAGCCTTGCTGCTGTAACAACACTAATTTCTGTCGTTCGACGGCAAAGTCCCCTAGTAGGAACTCGTTGATGGCATCATGTTGCTGGTCTCTGCTTAGAGACTCTGACATACCACTGATCGCGGGTTCGCCCATGAGCACACTCATGCGGCCGACTACCTCCCATTCTGAGTCACTCAGATGGGAGTAGCCTTCACGTGTGACGTAAAAGCTGTCGTCTTCTACGTCCAACACGTTCATGTTGGACGGACACTAAGTAGCCGTTGGACGGACTACAAAGTGCTACCAGGTGTAATGGGGCACCCTTTGTTGGAGATGCCGCGAAACTTCACGTACACTAGTACGTGCAGAGGAAGCTAAACTACTTGAACGACTCAATCACGTAAGGTAAAAAGAGACATGTATTTTATGTAATTAGATAAAGATTAAAGTAATGTTGATAGCTTAACTATATTAAATACAGTTCTCTTTTTACCCGATCAATTAAGGTAAAAAGAGAACTGTATTTTGTATAGTTATATAAAGATTAACGTTATATTAATTGCTTAACTATATAACATACAGTTCTCTTTTTACCTTACTAGATCGAGTCGTTCAAGTAGTTTAGCTTCCTCTGCACGTACTTGTGTACCTAAAATTTTGCGGCACCCCAAACAAAGGGTGCCCCGTACCAAAAAGAGCGCCTTGTCACGTCTTCCTTGTATACATGCATTTTCTTCACAATCATTTTAGTACATGCTTTAAAAAATACACACTTGTGTAAGCGCATGTATCCTATAAAAATATTCATTAGCATGGCATGCACAGATTCTTTTGGAAATTTGGAGCTAAAAAAATAGATTTTTTTGAATTTTAAATTTTAAAATGTTTGCAGGATTTTATATGGAAGTTAAAACTCTTTTAGATAATCAGCAATCTATCTTAGTTGATCAAAAGAAACATTTTGAGCAATGCGTAAGTTATCTAGTTTTTTTTACTTAGCCAAAATGAAGATAAAGTTTTGCGAATTTATCGTCAATTTACTGAATTAACTATTCAAAAGTTTCCCCATGAAATCAATTTATCGATTAAATCTGGCTTAAATACTTATTATTTATAACCAAAAATTGTTTTTTCGTTACAAGTAGGAGTTAAGTAAATTGAACGACTTGTACATTGCCGCGCACCAGACGCGTTTCGGCCCCCCGCCGGGGGCCTCATCAGCGGTTTGTCAATCTACAAGTGAAAACTATTTATACATCTAGCTGCTGTACGACCTATTATAATGCATATAACCCTAAAGAACACTCTACACATACCTTATCATGGGTCGAATCTCTGGAGTCGAAACCAGTGCATCATGCACTTCCAACATTTTATTAAAAATTTAAAAACCTAATAAAAATAAAAAGTGAACTAACTAATAAATGTTTTGAGTGGTTTTTATAAAGGTAATGGATGGAATAAACAAAGCAGTAAAGCCTTTCATAAACAAAATAGGAATAGACTCATCCTGTTCCAGTTTTTAGAACTTTCAATATAAGCTTCAAGTACATCTTCGGATGGTTCAAGCGGCACAATAAATTCTTGCGCAAGCGCCCCTTTTTGTGTTTTGTAACCAAACATCTTTAATTGCTCGACGTCTCTGTCATCATCAGCTGCAATCACGTAACGAAACGCACTTGCACGCTTTCACTTTGCCGAAGTATATCTACATCGTAACTGTACCGGGGCACCCTTTGTTTGAGGTGACAAGAAACTTAACGTATACTAGCACGTGCAGAGAATGCTACTCTACTCAAACCGCTACTTTGAGTAAAGTGTAAAAGTAGAACTGTAATTAGTACAGTTACGCTATCAATATAACTTCAGTATTAATCTAACTGTATCAACCTAATTGGCGTATGACGACAACCTGCTCACCACTCATTACGCGCGTCCGGCATAATTGGTAGCAATCTTGGTTGATATAACTTTCATCAACCAATCTTAGAGCAGCACGTGAATATTATCCTCAGGGGATAATATTCCTTCAATAGTATCCATCTCGGATAATATTGGTAGGGAATTGTCACGCTAGACAGTCTCCCTAGAGACACCTTTTGGTCTCAACATTATATAACGAGCTACCCGTTACAGTTGCGACATCTTGTACCATCTTCTCGGATGCTACCAAATCCGCAAGTGCTTTTAAATTTTTAAAGTCGCTGCAGCGAACCGTTGATACGAATTTTGAAGCCACGAATTATTTATGTGGTTGCAACCCACTGCTTATAAATTTAAGGAAATTGACATGTAAGATCGTTCATAAATCTATGCGGATAGAATTTATATAAAAATGTAAACTTTTGAAGTTTCTCTATCTTGGTCCACAAGTAGCACATCTGTGGAAATTGACACAAACTTTTCTTTAATGCTCTCATACAAGTATTGAGAAAATATTCCAAGTCGGTCGATGCTGGCATAAGCTAATAGATTATTTACGTAAGCCACAAAACTAAGCAGGACGTCGCTATTGTAAATCCGGTAATGACACAATGTTGCTACATATACGTTGCAATTTTGCCGTTCGCTGAAGCATTGTCGCGTGTGATGCAAAAAATAAATTGGATAAGTGATTTGCTACTCTAATACATTGAACCGCAGCTGAACGGCTTCTGTCACCTTTATAATTATTCCATATCCACTTCAGCAACAACTTGATTCCAAAGCTTCTAACTGTCATCGATTTGAAGATCAGCTAATCCCGTTACGAACGACGACTTAATGAAGTTTAACGATTTGAGGTCATTTTTTCTTTGGTGTTCAGGCGTATTAAATACATTCTCATCTGTTCACATCCTACAAATAGTGACGTCAGCAACTGTATTTGGACGCAAAGTTAGAGCATGCATGTACCCTGATAAAAAGATTTCCAGGTTACTATGTCTGATCGTGTTTGCTAATGTAAACAGAGCTTTTTTTAAGATGCACAGCTCCAGGAGACCATGTAGTTGTTGGCATTCTACAAACTGATAAGACATCGAATATCTTAGGTCTTTTTTAAGTTTAAGCCTGTTTGATCGTCTGCCGGCTTAGTTGATGTTACAGTAAGATGTTATCGTGGTAATACAGCATTAAACTTATAACAATAACTGATGCGACGCACTCAGGTTCAGATTGCTTAATGTTGCACACGTAGATATTGCACCTTGTTCAGGATTCGTTTCATGTATCGATTGTCATCGTATGGTTGGCCGAGTTTTTAGTAGTACTCATAGCTGTACATACGTACGTAGCTCCGCAAATTGCTAATCTGTTACTAAGCTTTGCGACCTGTCGAATATCCTTACCTTCTAAGTGTGCTAGGAAAATGTTTTGTTTAGCTGAGCTATAGAGACAGCGTACCTTCGACAGATGTATGAGTGTATTACACAGAGGAAGACGCCAATGCTAAAATTCATTAAACTAAATCATCCAACGACTTCATCAAAACACATTTAATAATCAAGGCGCGGATGGGATATCGTCTCATCGGAGCGCGCTTCTTGATATTTTTCATTTTTCTAATAGCCCAGTCATTCTGTTTAATGTACTGTGTGGAAACCAGGTTTGCATGAGCAGCCTAGGTATAATACGTGATCCGAGAATAGACTAGTGTAACGGGGTTACACAAATGGTCGTGATTACCAGGTACGTTGTTGCGATACACACAGAAAGAGATCATTGCCACTGATAAGGCGTACTTTTGTATCACATACGCTAAGCTATAATAGTGTACCTTATCGGTTATAGTGTGGTGAAGTTTCTCTCAAAAGTGGTAGACAGACGGTCCGGTGAATCGGAGGTACCTAAGATAAGGAGACTACGGAGAATACACGAACTTGGGACGAGCGGTGTTTGCAGACTAATTATGGGGACTTCATTACCGTTTAGCCGGTACAAAAGGATGCCGACCAGGTTATCTTTTTGAATATACCGATCCATTAAAATAAATTTCGTTCTCTTTGAGAAGAGCGCGGCTCCTCATCGGTAGACCCGGTTCCTAATTGGGCAGACCTCGGTACATCATCGGTGGAATAGGCATCGTACTGAAGGGTTTAAGGAAAATAAGAGAACCGGGGGCTATCGCGATGAAGGAAGAAAGGGCCACATTCAGGTTAGGGGTGCTTATAGAAGGGGTCAAGAAATTGGTAGAAACCTGAAGATGTAATGCTCGCAAGACCCATTACGAAGAAGACCGTTCCTGGTTACTGGTGAAGCGTCACTGGAAGGGGCTGACTACAGAATTGCGTTGGCGTGCCTTGTCCCCGGAGTAGACCTCGTTCCTTTATTGGTGGGCCCGGTACCTAATCGGTAGACCTTCGCCCCTCATCGGTAGACCATAGACTCTCAGCAATTGACCTTGGTCCCATATCTTAAGACAATGGTCCCACATGGTTCCTCGGTCCTTTATTAGTAAAACAAGGCCTTTCAAAGTTCAGCTGCTCTTGAACACTCACATAAAGTGCCAGAAATTGAGGCAAGGATTGAGCAAAGAAGCTAAAGGATCTTACGATGTTAAATACTACCCACTTTGCGATCTACGTAGAACAACTTCGTCGTGCTCATAGAAAATTAGGTGTTGCCACACACCTTTTCCGGGGAAGGGATACCCTCTAACCCCGTATTAAACACTAGCGTGACAAAAAGCAAGTTTAAGTCAACCCTTTAAAGTACTGGGCCTGTGGTCTCGTCTCGACTTCTTTCTGAGAAAACGAGATTAAATGTACCCACCTATTCCAGGGAAGGAATTATTTGGTCCCCGTCGAAGACAGCTGCGAGATAAGACTCGAGTGCAGATACACTTCAGGGTGTATTTTGGCCTGTAAGTTCGTCGAGTAGCAACACCCTCCTTAAAGACCCTCTATCGGAAGCATTTTTTTACCACACGGGTAAGGACAAAAATAAAGAATAAATGGTAAACACCCCCGAGACAACAAGAAAATTGCAGGAGGATCAAGCTACCGATAGAATTTGGTCGTAAGTCCACTCTCGACTAGGTCGATCAAGTTTCCACATACCGGGCCACCCGGTTTAGCATAACCACTTGCGGCCCAGGTGTAACGGGGCACCCTGAAGCTTGTACTGGTGACAGTACAAGCTACTTATTCTGATGACAGAATAAGGCGGTGCCTCGTAACTTCACGTACACTCGTACGTGCAGAGGAAGACAGTAAGAAGAAGCGAGTACTTGGTTAAAGTAAAAAGTAGAACTGTATTTAGTATAGTTAATGTCTGCA